ATGCTGCATGAGTTTTTCTCTTTACAAAGCACCATTTCTGTCAATCACCCTGTCATTCAGAATTAAGAGAATGATGTCAATTGAAGAACACAGAACAATGGTGATGAGTTTCTGTGTTCAAACACAAGGCGTATCATGTCAGATTTATCTAGGGGAGCAATTTGCCTCATTTAACAACCATTTTAGCCTTGCAGGTAGATATTCCAATTTATCAGTTAATGAAATTTTTCCCCAAATTATTCACTCTTCATTCTTCTCATACCTACTAGGACAATAAGTAGATCATGATGTGGGCAATGATCAGTTATTCTTGGAAGGGTGGGGCCTCTGCTCTAATTTGTCCTTACTGCCTTTTGTGGATGGCTGTCATTTTTAATGACTAACCAGATTCCTTCAGAGGCTATAAACACTTATTTTAAATGTTTTAATTATTATTCTGAGGAAACAGAACATATGGAAGTATTATTGATTAGTCTGTCAATTCAATATTGACTTGAAATTAATTACATCCATTTGTAAAACCATTTTATCAAACATCCCTCACACTGTCAAACAGAAGCACTCTGGCTCCTAAAACAAGGTCTAAAGTAAATCCTACTTTCCTACTAACTCCCATTATAAAATTAGAGACATGTTATCAAAAGAAAGTTCCCAAACAGACCGACTTAAAAACCTTGAGTGAAAAAGACAGTAAGATGGTAGCCAGACGTGTAGCAATTCATTTGTTTCCTGATCATCTGAAAACTGGGTGGCTATTACCACTGGTCATGGTCACATTCCTCATCCTCATGACCACAGAGATGTCTGTCTTGATAGCGAACATATCTACCTCTATGCGTTGGGACTTCTAGACTTTGCCCTTTTCCTGCTTTGATGCGGGCATTTTCATCCCTTTAATTAGGAATTCCACTGCAGTAACACACTTAACCAGTGGGGGTCAATTCTCAAACTGTACTTCCACCAGAACACTGCTATGTTAGAAGCTTCTGTTTGTATAAAACATGCTCATTATCTATCTTCGACTTTAACATTCTGTATTAAAATTCTGTAATAATCTCCTTGCTTTCCCCTGTGGCATAAACATACACAGGACTTCACATTTCAGGTTAAAATTGCATACTTATGGTGAATAGGATATTTAATTCTTAGAAGAAAAGTTGTACCTATTAGTGTGAAAATTCTCATGAAGTATATACTTTCATAATATAGACTGACTTCTCAAAAAGGAAATTCAAAATATAATTAACTTACATACAAAGATAAACCATAAACAAAGACTTCTCCACAATCTTTTAAATAGTGATTGTATATTAAATATGATCTGTTATGTAACCAAATATGCAGATTTATTGATACAAAGAGATAAAGAATGGAAAAATTTTTTTTAAAGTCTTAGTATAATATAAAAAAGATAATGGAAAGAAATATTCCAAAAGGTTAACAGTAGTTATTCTCAGAATGGTATAATTATAAATGGCTTGCATTTCTCTCATTATACTTTTTTAATTTTAAAAATTTTCTTTGATAAATTAAAATTACTATTATGAACAGAGTATATGTATAAAGTTTATTTTCCATTTTTATTGTAGCAAAATACACATAAAATTTGCCATTTTAACAATTTTAAAGTGTACAATTCAGTGGCATTAAATACATTCACAATGTTGTACAACCACCACCATTATCTAGTTCCAGAACTTTCTCACCACTCCAGATGGCAACCCTGTATCATTAAGTAGTCACTTCCCATTTACCCCTCCCCCTATCCCCTAGTAACTATTAATCTGCTTTCTATCTCTATGGATTTGCTCATTCTGGATATCTCATATAAATGGAATCATACAGAATGTGGCTTTCTGTGTTTCACTTCTTTCACTTAGCATAATATGTTCATGGTTCATTCATGTTGTAGCATGTACTTCACTTCTTTTTATGGCTGAGTAATGTTCAATTGTATGAATATAACATATTCTATTTATCCATTCATCTGTTGATAAACATTTGGGATGTTTCCACCTTCTGGCTATTGTGAACAGTGCTGTTATGAACATTCATGTACAAGTTTTTGTTTCAACACTTCAATTCTTTTGGGTATGTACCTAGAAGTGAAATTGTGTCAACATATAATTTTTTAATGCCTTTAATTCTATTTTGGCATTCTGTGTTTAGTAATGCTTTTTCAGAATCATTAAGGATAACCCTTAGAATATCATTCCCACAATACTATTACTCCATTTTCAATCACTGAGTAAGGTACATATTTTTTAAAGACCAAATCACATTCTTGTACTTAAAAATATAATTTCCACCCTTACTCTTTGTACACAAATTTCCCTTCTGCCAAATACCTGAAACAATGATGAACTAACTGAAAAGGATGGGCTTTTCCTCTTAGCATAGCCATTCTAACAGTGACCAATTCACTTTCAAATGCTTGTACATTAAAAGTAAAAATAAGAAAAAGTGGGCCGGGCGTGGTGGCTCACACCTGTAATCCCAGCACTTTGGGAGGCCGAGGCAGGCGGATCATGGGGTCAGGAGATCGAGACCATCCTCGCTAACATGGTGAAACGCGTCTCTACTAAAAATACAAAAATTAGCCCGGTGTGGTGGGGGGTGCCTGTAGTCCCAGCTACTCTGAGGCAGAGAATTGCTTGAACCTGGGAGGCGGAGCTTGCAGTGAGCCGAGATCACGCCACTGCACTCCAGCCCGGGCGACAGAGCGAGACTCTGTCTCAAAAAAAAAAAAAAAAAAAAAAAAAGTGTATTTTTTGCTTCAACAGGGAACTAATACTTAATAGAAATTAATATTTAAGCCCCCTAAAATATATTAAATACACAATACCAAGTAGGAACAATATAGAATCTTCTGGAAATTCAGGCTGGCAGATGGTGACCAAAGAGGATAAATATGCCTTCAAATAGTATATAGTAGAGTACACAGTACTACTTCTTAAGGGCTTTACATCCCGGTCTCCTAACAAACAGAAAGCTGATATATCTTATGGACATAATAGCCCAATAATATCAAGGTTAATTTTAGCCGTAGACAGTGCTTTAACTGGGCTAAGGATGATGATGGTATACTCGGTGCTTAACCATGCCTATGTAACAGCCGTTGGATTCTCCCCTTTTTCCTTTTCCCCAAATACATGCACACACATTTATATAATACTAGTATGTTCATGTCTGTGACACACACACACATGCGCACACACAGAAACACACATGCCAGAACTGTACTTCCAACTCAGTAGCTGCAAGAGCAGAAGTGTTCTTGTAGCTTGGTCATCCCCCTTGGATCTCAGGCTTTCCCATATAATCACTCCCACTCCCACTACTACATACACAACACCCTGCAATCCAGAAAGCAAAAGTAAATCTGACTGCGGAAGAGGAAACAGTAGCCTTAAAACAGTAAAAGAACCACCCAGACTATAATATATGTTAATAAGTAGGGAACATGATTTGGGACCATTTAAAAATAAAGTACTAGGGAATATTTCCATAATATTTGTAGACTTCTCTTTAAGAAAAGTCAAATAAGAACAACAAACTTATAGAAAATAATAAATTAGAAATGTCAAGTTTACAAAAGGTTTTCCACATTCCAACTTTGGTAGGAAAAACAGTATAAATTTATTTTATTTCTTCCTTTGCAAAAATCCTAAGATGTGTTCTTATTCTGATAATGCTCCAGAAAATGTTATCACAAAACCCAGAGGGGACTCCTGCATCGTACTCTCTGTAGAAAAGGTTTTTTTCTTTCACCCCACTCCCGAAAACTTTTTAAATAGCTCTGGTATAACAACAATAATTTATATCATAGAGATTTTTTTTTTCAAATGAAGAACCTTATAAATGTCTTATTCTGTATATTAGAAAACTGAATTGCAGTGGAGTAAGTAAATTGTTCAGTCTCACAAGGAACCAGGGCAAAGCCAAAATTAAATTCAAGTCTAATAAACTGTGAAGAGAGTGATCTGTCCCCAAGGCAGAATAGTTCAGTTACTATGGGTAATGGTCCTTCTAAAACAGCAGAATTAAAATCTGTCATAAGGATACAATAATGCCATTTATGAATGTACGTGTGAGACAGAATGTTATGTTTATCACTGAGTTCCCATTGTTTCATTCATAGCACTTATTTCTTCATACTTTCTATACACATTTACTTGCCATTAAATTAGGAGATGCTTCATGGTAGGAACCAAATCTTACCACTTTTATACATGTAGCACATTGCCTGGAATACAACAGGCATTCAGTAATATGGGTGTGTTTGTGTGTAAAATTTCATAGACCCAACAGACCTACACTCAACATCTCCTCCCAGCTACCAAAACAAATCATGGTGAGAACCTCTGAACTTCACTAACGATGTTAGCCAACTTCACGTACTAAAGAAGAATAAAAATATGATCAATATAAGCTACTCTAATAATAGCAATGCACAGAGATACCCAATAATCTTAGTATTATTTGTTAGAGTGTTTAAGTATATAAACTAAGGTAGCCAAGAATGAATTCACATTATTTAACTCTAGTTAATCAATACCTTGTTATCATCACAAGCTGATTCCCCCAAATGGTGTATTATCCTAACTATTTCTTCTTGTTTCTGAGATGTATCCTGTGACCAACTAGTTACTTAGTGGCGGCTATACCAGAGTGCACCAGAATGAAAATAAGAGGAGAAATAAATTCCAGTCAGTCCTTCTTACTACTTATTAACAGCTTTTATGAGGTGCTTTGGTGAGGTAGTAGGATAAAAATGAAAACCAAATTCAGTTTGGGGATTATAACAACACGTGGCACTTTGTCCTTTAAAAAACTCATTTACTTATATCTCGTTCAACTGTGAGATTTATTCATCCATATTACTGTCGACCTCCATTACAATAGAGAATGGGCTGAAAGAGTTATTTTCTGGGCCTAATTTTTAACATGTCCTCAAGAGTTACCTTTATTTTTCTTTTAAAATTTTTCTATAATCTTACCTCCCAGTCCAAATAATCACAGACATCTTCAAAGTTAGTGAGCAGAGACACTGAGCAGAAAAGCCGTGGCAGCTCATCCCTTGTCATTGGGGGAAAACGGCTATCTTTAAGGGCACTGTTAAAAACAAAGCAAATATTAAGGCAATCACTGGATATGAAAGTTGCCAATTTCAAATGCAAACAATTGTTTGAAAAAGGTAAGAGTTTCAAAAAGAATCAGTAAGATGTCAAAGGTACCAATAAGCTTCAAATGTATTCAAATTCCTTTAGAAGTCACCTTTTTTTTCATTTAATAGATTGTGTTTGCTAGCCAATCTTGTGACCACTTCAATTGTAAAGAGTGAATCATCAATTACATTTCCTGTACAGCCATTTCCTGATGTCTTTCCCTGCTACTTGTAGAATCTAAGAATGTTTTATTTTGCTTTTGAGAAGAATAAAAACTCGACTAGTGGAAACTTGCAGGAAGGTTTCTGGATCTAGTGCTGGTGGCAGTAAAAATAAATTATATATATGTGTGTGTGCATGTGTGTATGTATACACATATGTGTATGTGTGTGTATACATATATATGCATACACATACACATATACACAATATTGTTTTAAAAAAAGATCATACTAGGAAGGCCAGTCACCATAGAATAGCACTCGAAGAATTCAAAGGAAGATCGAAATTTCATTTTCTTCAAGAAAAAAAAAACAAAGAAAATGGAAATAATAATGCAAATTATAGACTAAAAATATTCATAAGAATTTCAGGCCCCCTATAAAGGATAATTTAACATATGACGCAAAAATTGTGAAACTACAGGAAATAGGGCTAATCTAGGAAATAAAAGTATGATTAGGAGACCATTAATCACGTCAATGAATTTCTGAGTACATCAACTCTGATTGGATCCTGTAATCAAGTGTAGTATATCATAGTGCCAAACTCTAGAAAAACCCCACTGTAAAATGTGGAAAAACCGTAATTCGTCCTGCAATGGAACAGAAAATACACACACACACACACACACACACACAGAGTGTGTGTGTTCCTTGTACTTTTAAAAGAAACCACTTCCTGATCAAGAAAAACAAACATACTTCTGATTGCCTACTATATTAATGGCACTACTGGTATTCATAACATCCATCTTCAAATGTCCTAGATAGGAGCCAGGCTTAGAAATATTTTCATGGATTAATCCTCAGAGGTTACAAACTCAGACTCTACAAACTGCTTGGGTCATAACATAGTTCCATAGCCTTGGAAAGAATTTAATTCCTTTTTCAGTGACTTTCTCACGCTGAATTTTCTTTTTTTCATTTTCCCATCCCTTTGTTTGCATTCTGAAGCTCATCCACTGCGTTTTCATATTGCACCACATTTTGGTGCTCATTTTATCCTGCTATACAAAGGAAAATGCTTATAGGAAGATATAGAGATGTTATAGATGTGTAAAATTATAAATGTTTTTCCCATTCAAGAAGCCAAGATTAACCAAGAAAATCAGGAAATCTGTGATAATTCATACTCTGAGAACAGCATTTCACTATTTTATAATTTAATGACGTAAATTTCCTATGGTTTGGCTTCTTTTATTTTCCTACTGACAAGTAAAAGTTTAAAAAAATACTTCCAAGTTCTCATTCAAAGCCAAGATAAAGACGTGTGTGTGTAACAACCCACACCCCCCAACCCCACACAGGAAAGAAGTTCTAAAACACAGACCAGAATAATTGTATGCATAAAAAACAAAAGGCCAATCACATTTTCAGTTTTACTGTTAAAAGAAGAAAAAGAGAGTAAAAGACACATTATTCATTAGAATAATACAAAATATAATTTTAAGGGGTTATGGATTTTTTTACTGTGGCAAAATATACATAACATAAAATTACTATTTTAGCCATTGTTAAGTATATAGTTCTGTAAAATTAATTATATTTGTGGTGTATCTATCACTATCTTCCATCTCCAGAACGTTTTCATCTTTCCAAACTGAAACTCTGTACCCATTAAATACTAACTCCCCATTCCTCCGGCCCCTAGTCCTGGCATAAAATGTAATTTAAATATACTTTTATAATTTCAAATAGTTATAGTAATACAGTCACTAATGTTTTTAATTCATAACACTTTTATTGAGATATAATTCACATACCACAAAATTCACCCTTTTAAAGTATATAATTCAATGGCTTTCAGTATATTCACAGTTATGCAACCATCACCATTATTCAATATTAGAACATTTTCATCATCCTTAAAAGAAAGCATGTACCCAATAGCAGTCAGTGAATATTGGCACCACTCCCAGCTCCTGGAAACCATTAATCTACTTTGTTTCTATGGATTTGCCTATTCTGGACATTCTGTATAAGTGAAATCATACAATATATTGTCTTTAGCATCTGGCTTCTTTCACTTAGCATGTTTTGAGATTTCATCCATGTTGTAGCATGTATCAGTACTTCATTCTTTTCATTGCCTAACAGTATTTCACTGTATGGATACACCAAATTTTGTTACCTATTCATGGGTTGATGGACATTTGGGCTGTTCCCACTTTTTGCCTATTATAAATAATGCTGCTAAGGAATTGACATATAAGTTTTAATGTGGATGTATGTTTTCATTTCTCTTGGGTAGATAGGAGTGGAACTGCTGGATCATAAAGGTAATTCTACCTTTAACTTTTTGAGGAACCAACGAACTATTTCTCACAATGGCTGCACGATTCTACTTTCCCAGCAGCAATGTATGAGTTCCAGTTTCTCCACATCCGCACCAATATTTGTTGTTGTCTGACCTTTTGAATATAGTACTAGACCTTCTTTAATGAAGCACATTTTGTACCTAGCTGTAGCTTTTTCATTTTAAAAATACACATGCTGAAGTCGCTATACAGTTAATGTCTCAATACTTTGAGGCACGTTATCATTTTGTTTAGTTCATTTCCTAGCAGACCAATAAAAGATAAATTCAAACTATTTGCAGTGCAATTCAAACTATTTCAAATCAATGAAATTTTCAAATACCTAAAACATAAGTGAGGATTAGGCTACAATGCTTTTCTCATGACATGGAGCCTTGTTGTTCACTCATTCTAGGCTTAAAAAAAAAGAAGAATGTTTAGAACAAGGAGTTAGTGGGAAAAAGCTAGAACAATGAATGGGATAAAATGACAATGGTGCCTCACCATGTCAAGGTTCAAATATACTGATTTCAAAGCTCTGAAATAGTAAAGGTTTGTTAGTCATGATGGGAATAGTCTGATTTTACAGGGACATTTAAACAAGACTTTTGATTCTTGCATTTTTTAGCCAGCTCTAAGTAATTTTTCATTAAATTCATGAACACAGAAAAATTCCAAAGGTAGGAAGTCCTCAATGTCTCCACATGTAAATTTCTAGGGAAATGAACTAGCAATGAAAGCCTAGCAAGGATTTAAGAGATTACAAAAAGATGAAAATACAGCTGGAGACTGACCTCAGAGCTGCCAGGCTGGTGTGGATAGCTGAAAAACAACAAGATTCAGCTTTCCTCAGCCAAGCTTTCCTTAACCAAGCTCTTTTTAGAATATGCAATGTTGAAATTGTGCTTTTAGAGAGAATACTGTAATCTGGAGTTGGGCAGTGACTTACTCAAGGTGACTCAGCTAAGTTAATGACAAGGGTAGGGATACAACCAAAATTTTCTGACTCAAGTCCAAAATTCTTTCGAGTATCTACATTTTAGTTGTCACCTTTGCATGGATTTGCTTTCAAATTTTAAAATTAAATGCTTGCCTTACTTGGCAATTCTGATCTCATACCTGTGGTACCTCTATCTAAGATGATAAATAATCATTCAGTAGCATTCATTAGTAGCCAAAGGGTAAACAGAGCTAGACTTCCTGTCTACTGGAAATCTGCAGGAGTAAAATATTTTAAAATATTAATACTGTTCATAGAAAGCATTTTATACCGAAGTAGTATCTGCCAATTTAAATTCTAGGCAGTCTAAGGAACTGACAAGGGGGTCCTGTAAGTAAATTCATATGAATTTCTCTTTGTTAGAATAGGAAGTCTTTTTCTAATGTTTAAATATTGCTAGAAAAACAAAACAAAACAAAACAAAACACTTACATATAAAACCAGTCAGCTGCTCCATCACCCATTGGATAGATAAGCTTTAAACAATCACAGTTTAGTTCACATACCAAATTCAAATATATTCAATTCAAATTGGCACCTTCTCAAGAATACACCTCACCTAATTGAGAAGGAGCATTAACATTTGTCAAAGTTAAATAATGTTATGTAGTACTTTCATAAAAATGAACATTTGAAGAAAAGATATTAAGAGTTTAGCTATGAAAGAACTAAAGAGTTTGTGACAGTGCCTGGAAACTATGCTAAAAAGAAAAAAAAGTCGCTGAAAATAGGCAAAACCTTAGATATTACAAGGCTCATCGTAAACAATACAGCATGCAACAGAAATAATTTAAGGGACTCTGTCTAGTCATTCGCTCACTTGTTCATTCACTTTCTAAAACATTGTTGAACTTAATCGATTAACTGCTGGAAAGTTATCAAACTGAGAGGGGCTTCATATTACGTATTACTATTTTTCAGGACAAGGAAGTAATTAAAACCCAAATTAAAAATCCGTGTTGGGACAGGCAAAGAGAAGCAATTCAACTTGTATTAGTCTAAAACTAAAAGCAGTTTCTTCATGAGGGGTTTCAACCACCAGGAAATTCCATATTCTGTCATTCCCTGCTAGAGCTTCTGGAATAGAATGCATACGTGGCATGTTTGAACCTCAGAAACTCAGAATACTAGAATCCTAAACCCACATCTGAAAAATTAACTACCTCTCTTTCTCACTAAGTAGCAATTTTAGCTTTCTAAAATTCAAGAAGCAATGGACACAAAACAAAATGTAAAAATGTGTCTATTCATCAAACCTAAGGGTAGAGAGGAAGAACAAAAGACACAATTATGGTTAAGGAAGGAGGAAAGGTACCTTATTTTGGTGAGGGCTGTTACTCAAAATAAAAGTTTCAGCTGTAAGCTATATGTACAGTGTTACTTAATTGGGAGATGGTTTTCCTCTTACAGTAATAAATAAAACCTTCTT